GTATGACAAGGTGTGACTCATTTTCTAAAGAATGTTAATAAAGGTCGGCACCTGTAATTGGAAACTATTTGCAAGATATATTTTACTATTACTTTCCACTTGCTTTCAGTATGCTATTTGTTTTTGCATTAGGCTGTCGTTATATTTTTTCTTAATCACCACCCCTCTGTGCTTGACTGAAATCATTAGATATGTGTTTTATATAAATTTGAACAAAAATAAAATAGACTTGGCACATTTCCTTCGTTCCAGGTTTTTCATTATAAAAATCGTACTAAAAATATATTTCTTTACACGATTTTCAAACAGAAAAATCCGATTTTGATGATCCAAATATCTTTAATTCCTCTTCAAAAGATATCGACGTGCACTACAGATAACATTGTAATTTTAACCGTTTTTTATAACATTCGTGATTCATCGAAGGTTTGAGCGATTAACCTCATGCTTATATTTCATCTTAAGTCCCGAACAAACACACGATCTCTCGACTTAAGTGTATTGTATCTTTCTATATGATTAAACTTTCCGTTATTTGTTTACCTTTGCGTGCTTTAAGGAAATCAGTTTTTGTGTCAAATTTAATTTTGCATATTATCCTGTCTTAGTATGTTAAAGGCTTTTGTCGAGTAAGAAAAAAGTCGTGACGGTGTTGTTTTTTTTTTTTTAGTAAATTCAAAATTGGTATGTTTTAAGTGACTTTAGGCAGGTGATAGCTTATAATTAGTTTTACTCTTAAAAGAAATGCGATACACTACATCTACCTGTAAGGTTTGTCTATGTTGATCTAGATCTATCAAACACAAATAAAATCTGTCGGAACACATTTAAAAACTCTTAAGATAAACCGCTTTATTCAGTTTCATTTCCTTTAATTCTAGTTATATCCTAGACCTAACATAGCAATCCACCAATAGAAAGAAGTATTAGCGCTTTAATTAGATGTATCAGACATTATGTCCAAACTGGGATTTGTAAACTTAATATGTTAAATATGGAAGTCGAAAACGGACTATGTCTCTGCTGTCGAGTTGTTTTTCTTACTTCATAGCACTGTTCGTTTTGTGAACCTAACATTTTCTTTTCTAGATCTAGTGCTTGTATTTATTTTGCTGTCCAAGTATCATAAACGTTTAAGCTTGGTAAGAAATACATATATTATAGGTATATTAAAATGTTATTGAATTTATTTTCGGTTCCGATAACATCCCATTTACAACATAAATGAGTAAAAACAATTTTAAGATTGGATTCACCCTACTCTACCGCTATATCTTTTCACCGTACTAAAATCATAATGTTAATGGTAAAGAACAATTTTTTTTAAAAATCATTGATTTGTCTCAATAAAGAATACTTACTAAAAATGTTTTTGAAGCAAAGGATACCTCCGAATTAATTTTTGTAGCATATTTCAAGTATGTTTATTTCATTTCATGTATGTTAAGTAGGTTAAAATATCGGTTATCTTAAATGAAAAAAAAAGAAAGAAACAACAACATATACCAGACACGGATCAACTTACATCAAATGGTACAATAATCTTATAAAATATTTCTAGTCCCGTCATGTAAAAAACCTCAATGGAGTCTCTTTGAAATATATATATTACATCAACTGTTTTTTTTTATTTTCTTTAATACAACTTTTCAACATTGCATAGCTTATTTACAACGTATTGAACAATGTAGTAAATCAGAAAAATAGTTAATTCTGTTATAATTATTTATACTACCCGAGATGAGACACACTGAATTATTCTGTTTCGACGTCATAAGATGAAAGTTGATAATAAATTTAACTTATCTAGCATATTTTTAAACCTTCATGTTTTTGTGTTGTATTTTGTTATTTTTGTTTGTTTTTGATGAGTCACTCGCCATTGTTATAAATACTATCTTCTCATTTAATAAGCCTAAAAGCATATGTTTGTTTTTGTTTGATATTTTATTAGATTATAAACACATCGTTTCTTGATCAATAATATGAAAATACGTCAAAATACATTTAACGAGTTTGGAGCTAAAAAATGGTTCTTTATTCAAATTTACTTTACTTACTTTTTTATCTATGATTGTTCAAAGTCAAAGAAATCGTTCGTGTGTTAAGTAATAAAATTATCTCATAAAGTGTATAATAAATTGAGCATATAATTTTACGATAACATTTAATGTAGCATCTCTTTTGTTAATTTTATCTTAATTTGATGATAAATTCTGTACTGTAAATAACGTGTATTATTACTCCATCAAACATGAAACTTGAAATGTTTCTTTTTTTTCTCCTACAATATTATTATTAAAAATAAAACAGAGAAAAAAATATATGAAATTTTATCATCAGCATATATTTTCAATTGTTGATATACGCTTTCTGTTGACGTATGAGTTCGTGAATAATTAAAGTGAAGACACTAGTAAGATTTTTTTCTGACATTATAACATTGCAAAGTGGCTTTAGATTCTCTATTGATGATGGTGATCGAACACTTTTAAACTTTCCCAGGACCGTCCCGTATATAACATGGCTTACTCTGCGAATGTCTCTTAATTCAAGACTTTACCATTTTCATGATTCTGCTATGCCGGTGTTGGGAGGGGGATGGCTTACGCTTTCCGGTGAAGTCCTTGAACGGACTCAATCAACCTGAGCCTGTAATATTTTCAAATTTTGCTTTTTAGGCGTTTATAAATGACTTTGTTTTTTCTCTAACTTACTTTTGTTCAAATACGTTGATAACTTACTTACATGTAACTGTTATAATTATGCTACTGTATTTAAAAACATTTCTGATACATAAAACACTTTTATACCAACAAGATCTCTACAATAATGTGAAGGGAAGACAGATATTGGCTTTTGTGTGATTGAATGTACATCTATATACATTGAATGTACATCTATATATAAGATTGTATGTGCATCTATATACGATTGTACGTGATCTATATAAGTAGATATTATACCATCTCGAGGTGATTTTCAGACCATAGTGGGGATCTGGACAAGCGACTTTAACTAATACCACTTAATAAACAATTGCTCATAGAAAAGTGGATTACATTTGTTTATTTAATTTATTGTTCCCGGCTTATTATCTTCTTAGCGCGTTTGATACATACCGCCGAGTTTCAATGGAAACGTTATATCAAATCGAATTATCTTTATACGAGTCGGGTCAGTGTAAATGTCTATCGTCGCTCAGTATTTACTTATGTCTTATAATGTGATTTATTGGGGGTTAAATGTTTATTTACGTTGGATTATCTTATTGCCATTAAAGTGACAATTCTGAAAGTAATTGCATACTTTTGACACCATATACCGAGATAACATTCCCATACAACTTGGCCGATTGAATCCTTATAAGATTAAATCAACGCTTTCTTTATTTACGGGTGCGTAGCCGGTGCAGAGGGCTCAATGGTGTTTAAAATCTTTCATTTAAAATTGCTACAATCAAAAACAGGTTTGTAATACTTAACTCGTCTCAGGGCTAAGATGTCAAATTTTCTCACAGACGACTCATTGTTCTTTCGTTCGGCGGCACGGCTGAACTCTGCACCCAGTGAATTTCAAAATTTAATCAAAATAATCTTACGGTGCAAATTTTACGTGTTAGAAGCACTTTTGAATGTAGGTAAATAATCGTGTTATCTCTTCGATTAGTTAACCTAAATTGATTAAAATAAAATCGTAATTTAATGACAGATTTTTCGTCTGCGATGTCTGTATCATGATATAAATTGGCGCTAGTTTGAAAAGACAACATTTCTTTTTATTTTTCTACAGGATGCATACAAGCTTAACATATTTCGTCTTTTCAAATTACCGAAATAAGTTGTCACGTATATAGAGGCATAAAAATATCACTAATCTATCTACAACTAGCTTCGTAATACAGTATCAATTGTATGGGGCTTTGTAAAAGTTTGAAAGGCGTGTTTAAAAATAAAAAATGTCCTCATCGGAAAAAAACGGAAAAAAGGAAAGAAAAAAAAACTTTATTTACAGCAAGAATAAGTAAGTTAAATGACGATTTTTTTTTTAATTCATAATGATGCATTAAGAACACTAACGAATATACAGTGAAATCCTTCCTTGTTCCTCCAGTCTCTTTTCCTTTTCATACTCGACCGATTTCTTTTAATATAATTATAGTGTGAGAAGATTGTTGCATTATTTACCTTAATTGGAATAGTAACTTGAATAACCTTGTGAAAACATTCACTCGGGGCTTGAATTATTAAACAACTGATACACTTGACTGTTGCATAATTTAACTAATTTATGCACGAATATGCAAATTTCTAAAGATAAAATCAGTGTCCTCCTTTCAAAATCTAGTGTGAAATATACGCCTTAGGTATGATATGCTTAACAAATGTTAGATTATTTCATGCAAGTAGCAAAACACATATAAGTGTGCTGTCATAAGTATGTATTTGTTGTTGTTTTTCAAATATATGTACTGTTACAAACATAAAAAAACATTTTTATAGTTGCATTTATTAAAACATTTCTAAAGAATGGAAACAAGAATAATTTCAGCTAGATAAAAAATATATCCATAAAATATATTCATTATCGTATACGTTTTAAACGCGTTGCCTTAAAATATACCGAAAAAAACTTTAGTGACCCCATTGATATGATATAGTTAGTAAGTATTACTATCTAAAAAAAAGTCCGATGTTAGTGCTCTACTGAGCCCGTTTTTGCCTGAAATCATATACGGAATTACATCTAGACGGTCTATTCTTGTAGTTTAAAGCTTATGTAACAAAGGACATTACATATATCTGTGTTTTCTTGACTTCAAAATCCTTTATAGTTTACTAGTGTAACATTCTATACCATTATATTTTATTACCATATATATTCTTTCTTCAAAGCTTGATATTACGTACAATAACTCTAGCTTTTTAAGTTTACCCCCAATTAATACGCCCATGTAATGCGCAAAATGAGAGAGGTAGACCGCTCTATAACATTTTCTCCAAAGCCTTTGTGGTATTGGTAAATTACAGTTGAGTTTACCACACTAGAGCGCAAGTTTACAATTTACTGCGCTCTTTACTTCAATATATGATTGCGTTCATTGTAATTTTCATACAACTTTTCAAAGTAGAGGGTGGATACTTAAGAGATTTTATTAATAGTTTTCATAACAGTTTGTTAGTTAGGAAATAGTTTATGCGACGGAATGTAGTTCAAACAGCGGAACATATGTAGTATTTATCACTTATAAATTAATTTCACTCTTTGTTGTGGAATACTGAACTGACGATGGTTTAAATGTGGTTTTGAATTGAGAGATAGTTTGATTATTGTTATGAATAGTCCGGAAAGGCAAAATCTGATCATGAGACAATAATATATGGACAAATGTTAAATACATTCAAAATATTTTGAAACAGCGACGTGGATGTGATGCTGTGTTATGAAATGACTTAATACTTCTTTCTTCATTTTTCTGGATTAAGTAAAGTAAAATAAAGACACCATATCTTAATTAAATATAATTTATCAATATGAGATTTTCTTGGTTGCTTGTGACACTGTTTTACGTGAAAACACGTCTAGTAGCGGGATACGTGTACGATGCGGATTATCTCATCCCTCGTGAATGTGACTTGTGTCTCGCGAGCACGTGCCCTCAGTTGACGTACTGTGTTGGTGAGGTTGTGAAAGACCATTGCGGCTGCTGTCAGATCTGTTCATCCGACTTGTTTCCTAAACAACCTAAAAAACATCTATCAGAGACGCCGGTAGAAGAACCGGCGACCGGGGCACTTGATAGCTATGAAAATAAATCTGGTAATTTTTAATTGAAGTATCATACATTTGTATAAATTAACCGTTTTACCATATTTACTGACGTTACTTTTTTAAATCTTATTTAGACAATTTAACCATTTAGCACTTTATATATTTATATATAAAATTAGTATTTTTGAATATTTAAAGTTAACAAAGTTTTTATTTGAATCAGTACTTAACATATATATGATATTAACATGTATATGCTTATGAATTGTGAGAAAAACGGTTGTAAAAAACATTAATTTATACATGTACCTGCAGATACATGTACATTGTGATAAGATTATCTGATGTAAGATTATAGGATTAAAAATATACAAATAAAATTCGGTTTAAATAGATTTCAATCAAATGCAGGAAACATGCTTTTAAAACAAAATAAGGCGCATTATGTTCCAGAAACGATTTTTCCTTCTTTTAAAAGGGCAAATTAGAGCTTTATAACATTTAAATAACGGTTTTAGAACTTGTAAGATGCTTATCACCCGAGAAAAGAAGCATATAATTTGAAATAATTTGTCAAAGTAAAAGTAGCAAATGTAAACAAATTAGTATTGTAGCTTTTTACCACTTAATAATTTCGAAAAGAATCATTGAGGTAAATTCTGTTATCTGTTGCTTATTTTTATCTAAAAAAATCTTAGTGTTCTTCTATTTGATGAAAAAGATAAACAAACACATAATAGATTTCTTTCATGATCCATTTCTCTTTGATAAAATTTTCACAGGATTAATTCAGATTTGATTAGATTATCTTTTTTGAACGAAAACTTACATCTCATACAATTTTAATTGGAGATGCACACATTTGTAATTAAATGTTCGTTTTGGATTTTAATGTATTTGCCGCTTGTCATACTATTTATTTTGACTTTTTAAAAATTTTATTTTCAACATCATAACAATTTACGTACATATGAATATCTAAGAATTGAAAATTTTCAAGTTCATACAATGCCTCTTAACGTCCTGTTTTAAAGATATGTGTGGTTTAATGCACGAACCTAATTTTTGAACGTTTAGTTAGATACTTTCTAGTATGATCGCATGATATACACACTATCAGGTTATGTCTCGATCTAAAACACAGTTAGGTCTCTATATTTTTCTTTGCGTGATGAATTTGAATAAGAAAAAAAATGATTAAATTAAATCACCATCTACTAAACTACGATTTTGAAAAAAAATCTTCCATCAGTTCTAAACAACCATATTGTTGCTGTTTTGCCTTACTGCGCGATTTTTCCAATGAAATACTGAAACCCTTGTCTTTGCAAGGCATATGTGCGTACGTGGGCGACAGGTTATGTCTGTTGACTTTAAACCACTTTGCTGCCAGCTGTATGTTCGAGTCCCGCCAGCGACTTATGCTTCTTTCAGGCAAGGAAGCTATCAAATTTGTTTATGGAACTTTGGTGGTTCTATGCAGGTGCCCGTTAGTGTCTTAAATAATGCACGAAGGGGCAGTTGAGGCCGCAAGTAAAGCTGGAAAGTCGCCATATGACTTTTTCGGTGATGATGCGGCGAAACACCCACATAAATCAAGCAAGTCATTGTCAGTAATAAAGCTTTAGCAGAAAGAAAGTCGTTATAAACGTGTTATTTTATTCTACCAAAGTCATATTCTTTACAATTTATATGTTAATTGCACTAAAGTAATGTTCATTTTCAAACCAGCAAACAATAACTTAGAATAAGAAATTAAGATAATTACGTTGTAAATGCAACAAATGAGATCATAATAAATGACTTGTCCATTAAGTGTTCCAAACTTCCTGAAACAATTACATTTTGTATGATACACTTGAAAGTTGCTCCGAACAATTACTTAACAACTCTTATAGACAATCGGTTTCAATACGTGGACCTTTATACGTTACTCCGATGAGTATACTTATTTTATATATCTTTAAGTAGGTTCAGCCAGTGAATAAATTCGTTTGGTTTCAGTATTATGCTACAATTATAATTTTTGAAAATTGATTAGCGAATATCAGCTTTTTAATGATATTAACATATGAGATTAAACTAACAGATTATTATAAAGAATTCATTACACATGTACGTGCAATTTTATTATATAATTATGTTAAGAATACTTCAAACCATTTCAACATGTTAACAAATATTGTTAAAGATTTTTAAAAATTACTTAATTAATTTGAGATACTATAAATAAGTAGTGCTCGCTACATAAAATCACTAGTTTTATAATCATAGTTTCATTTAAATATGTCTGACGAGAACAAATTGCGTGAGCCTACTCGGGAGAATCTATGACGCAGTCACTTTACAGCTATGACCTAGTGTACCTTCAAAACTTAAATACTGTCACACAAACTTGCCTTTTTGGGTGGTCCATAATAAAAATTTAATTGTTTTTTCTCCTTAAAATATTTCTTTAATATTTGATATAGTATGTTTTTCTATCTTCAATTGCTCAAGATTCATAGAGCGTGAAGTCGCCGTAATGACAATGCAATATCATAGTATACATTTCATAAATGAATATTTAAAACGTTTACGAGAATATGCAATAAATATTCTATTACTGTTTCATTTTATTATCATATTCAGTGACGAATAGAATTTACAATATCGACAGCAACAAACAATTACTTTGTATCCTTTGACAATATCGACCCCAACCGCTACCCCCCCCCCTCCAAAAAAAAAAAAAAAAAATAAATAAAAATGAAAAAAAAATATAAAAAAAATACCACCACCACCCCAAAAAACCACAACAACACAACAACAACAACAATAACAAGTAAACACAAAACACCAAATCAAACAAACTGTAAATCTTTTGACAATACCGAAACACACTATGATATTATCTATACAAATTGTCATTAGAACTTTTGACAATATCAAAAATCGCTATATAATCTTTGACAATATTGAAAATACTATTTACTTCTGATTTTGATCCAAATCCTAACAATAAAATTAAGTTTTATATATAACAGTTAAAAAATGATCTAATATAGAAGAAACTAACTCGTTACGGTAATTTGAGATTTCTTTTTACATTTTATTATAGATTTAAACACTCTCCCTTTCATTACGTAAACAAGAAGTACAATGATAAGTGTTTATCTCCACTGACTGACACCGTTTAATTTGATCTGATTATGTCATATTATTGTACAATGTATTATAGTTAGTATATGCAGATTTAAATGAAGATTTCGTCAAATAAGAGCGTGGACTAGACGTTTCATTATATCAACCAATTGAACATTTAATTAAAGGTTTATTGTGACTTTTGGCTTTTCTTTGCTATTTTCCACCAGCATGCATTTTTGTATAATTGAATCTTTTCTGTTAAAGTCTACCATTTTGATCTTTTAATCATGAAAGTCTTATTGATTATTAAAAAAAAGAAGAAAAAAACAAAAACAAACAAAAAAAACACGTTCAACGAAGTGTCAGATATATTTAATTATGTAAAATGTACAGTCATGTTAAATAGTAAACTTGAAATGTTTATATACATCTATTCACATTGGTCATATCTAATGTTTATTTATACATACGAGAACTATAAGCGCCTCTTTAAAACATTATTTACAGTTAGATTGTCTTTGATTAAGAAAGAAATAGAAAAAAACACGAAACATAGCTGACTAGTTACCAGAGGTTAAATCGAAAATAACATAACTTTAGTCGAATTTGTAATACTGCTTTTAAACATATGTGGTTGGTACGGTTTCTTGTCAATATTGCACCGAACATATCAAATGAAACACATGAAAGTTCCTGACGAATTTTATCAGCCTGGAAATGTACTTTATGCCAGTTAACCTATTTTACTTAAGAAACAATCATTGAATTAGTGTTAGGTCGTTGACTATTTCATTCATCATTTATATCAAATTTCCGAGAGGACACAGACAAATCAAAACATGTAGAAAGAGCGGTATGGATGTAGATATATTAGGATAGCTAACTACGCCTCCTTGTTGACATTTTCAACAAAATCATTCAGGACAACTAAATTTCTATTTTGTTTGAGAATATTTTGAATTAAAGAGGAAAATATAAATTTCTAATTAAAATAGTATCAAGGGCATAAAAGGACACCCAAATTAATCGCACTAATTTATACTATTATAAAACTATGTTTAAAAGTAAATTCTGATAACTTATTTAAACGCCAAAAATGTTAAGATTCTACAAAAAAGAGTGCAAACCGATTTTTTTGTGATACTAAATTGTTCTTTACAGAAACAGCATTAAATTGTGTAGATAAACTGTGTTAAACTTTAGATTTCGAGCATATATTACCACAGTACCTGACAACGTATAATTTTTACCCGTATTTATTTCACAAATTTCATTATATTACATATTTAAGGTATTTAGAAAGAGGTACCAAAATGTTTTTGAATTACTACAGTCAGGGAGCAAACGCTTTTTATAATAGACATACAATACGCGAATACCGTTATACACGTATAACAAAAACCCTTAAATGATTTTACCAAATATGCAAGCTTTCTGCCTCTAGTTTTATTACGTGATACAGAAATCCATCATTTATTAATTCCATTCCTCGAAGGAAAATGTCTGGTCCACTTAATAACCTACTTTATAAGCCTTTCACTGTCTCATTTGCAGTAATTGTTTTCTGTTGCAGAAATAATGTAATAAGAAAAGCGCCGATAAAGCGATTTACGAGGAGCAATTTCGCTTTCTGCTAGACTGTGGATTAGGAATTCATTACGCAATATGTTTTGGCCAAATTGCTAAGATGTGCATCGGCACTAACATTATTGAATTCTGTGATGGTCATTCAAAATTAACGAACAAAGTACAACATTATATTTAAGTCTTTATAGAAAAATCAGTTAAGAAATCGCTTAGATGAATTTGTTTCATACAATTAATAAAGATAGCGGTGCATGAATAGAAATAAATCAAAATATTGTCTGTAAGTAGCATGTATGTGCGTCTCAACTTGATCTGTATTATTAAGTTATTTGAGATGCAGTGCCTAAATTCCATTTTATTAAGTAAACTTTATATTAATAAACTATATAATACTATTTTAATAAACTTGATATTAATTTATAAATAAAAACGCCACACTTTCTTGTAGTGCTTTACAGATCAAAGACAACATTAAATCTAATCAGACTCATTATTGGCATGTATTATCTATATGATATCTAATTTCTAACAGTTATGAGTTTTACGGATGTTACCTGTACATTTTAAATAGTAAATTTTCCTGTTTAAAATTCTGAAATTTGAGGCATAACACGGCTGCCTTAATCATTAAGGAACTTAAATAAGGTGATAAATATATATAGCAAAAATTGTCGACTAGCTGACATCTTGTGCATTGATCTATACGAATACAAAAGTAACTATAAAATATTTAAAACAATTTTTACTCGCACAAATTCTATCATTTTACGTGTCACCATGCATTTTGCTTAAGCTATATTGGTATTGGCCGTTTTATTACACGAATTTACAGCACATGACCATTGTCTGGTACGGTCGCTTTATAACCTGTTGACAACACATTGGAACTTGACACGTATTTTATGTCTGGGACATTTTCTTCAAGTGACACTTGTTTGTACGCGGTTGTCAAATTTCCTTTAAATCACATGTTCTTTATTTGTTGTTATCAGAGAAAAAAATCAATATACGATGTATCTTAAACAGAATGTGAATTTTCTGTTTTACCTCTGAATGATGTACTTCCAGAATGATAATTTATCAACTTTATTTACTTTATTTTGTTGTGAAATCGCAGAATGTGTTTGGCCCTGCCACTAATCCATAATGTATAATCTAATAGACTTGTAAACTAGTTAACATGTTTTCATAAAAAGTTTGGCTTATCAACCTGCTTTGAAACCAATTTAGTACGTGTTTATTTCTATATTAATTAATGATTATTTGTTAATGTTCACAATTTCTGTATTCAGATGATCCATGCGAGAAAAGACGATGCCCAAAGTTCAAAGTATGCATGAAAAACGTGCAAGGCCTGCCAATATGTGCATGCCCTAGTTCATTCGTCTGCAAAAATCATGGCAACAGGGGAAAGTCGGAAGAAATATGCGGAAGTGATGGTCAAACCTATGACTCCAAATGCCACTTGCGAATTGCAAGCTGTAATGCTGCACGCAGAATCAAACGTAAACATGAAGGTGTATGCACGGATGCAGACGTTGCTGAAATTAATTCTATGAATAAACCGATGGAGAGAAAAGATTTTAATGAGATAGATTTCGGGAAAAATATTGATAAGCAAGAGGCTGAATATTTGGCTAATATTAATAGGGCGAAAAAACGTCGTTTGCGGCAGAAAAAGAAAAAGGAAAAGAAAAAGAGAAGGCAACGCAAGAGGGAAAGGAAAGAAAGAGCAAAGAAGAAAGGAAACAGACGACAAAAGAGAATGAAAAGACGCAATGACGGCTACAATATGTATTCAAAAAGATACGGATATTTGATAGGAAAGCATACAAAATGGGGTCGAAGTCAAGTAAGGAAGAGTAGAATTTAGACAGAAAATAAGACAATACGTTCCTAATATATGTGATAGAGTACAGCAAACGACAAAGGTGTCATTTTAACGCAGACGATACTGAACTACATTGATGTTGTGCTGTTGATTTTTTTTACCATTTTTTAAATGTTGTCATATTTATTTGTCATATTTATTTGTATTGTTGTGACACCGAGCAGACACGTTTTTGACATTAAGCGGAAGCGAGCATACAGATGTTTTGATGAATGGAAACAGTATTTTTCTTTGACAGATTTATTTCATTTTAGTACTCAGCTCCAAAACAAGTATGAAAGAAAAACACAATTGATTAAAATCATACTTTTGTTAAAATTAAACAATGCACATTTAAGTAAAAAATTGCCATTTAAAGAATCTACAATTTACAGCGGGAATTAGCATTAATGATTACAGTTAACTTAACAAGTATTCTATTTTTAAGATGTTTCTTCTTCATTTATAATCAATTTGTTATCAATTGTACAAGATATTTCTTTGTAATTATATATGTTAAAATATCAAACTTACATACATGTTTTTAAAAGAGATTATTTGGCCAAATTAAAGACCTAATGCAAACCCTACGGCAAAGACGAGTATTATTAGCTCTATAGTTCCATAGAAATATATTTGGCATAATCTTGAAGTTATTCATTTTATTAGTTAAATGCCTGTAAGATATCTTTGTGTTTTGTTTGAATATTGGATATAATTACCAAATGGAATTCTGATTCTGCGACAGGGACATGGAAAATTTGAAATGTAACGAATTTTCACCTTGGAAAAGATATATTACTTTTGATATTTCTATTTAATGTTAGAAAAAAGAAGTATAGTATGTATACATATAGTGTAATGTAGAACTAGAATGAGTGATATAAATTAAATGTGACTGTATAAACCCAATATCGCACAAATCAGCATAAATTATAACTCACCGAAAAAAAGAACGACAAGTTTAAGCCGTTAAAGATATCTGTAGACGTGACGTGTTTGTTTTATGAACACATTCTGAATAAGGAAAATAAGATGAAATTGATACATATGTGTCTCATAGGCATTTTGTATTTTAAAGTTAGTATATAGGTTGAATTGCAAATATATGTAGTTGTCAATCGATTAAAGGCACATTATGCCTCAGAAACAAATTAATTTTGACCTCTTTAGAAAGGGCAAACTATTTTATAATGTTACATTATGGTTTTTACTGAATGGGAGATGCTTGTTTTCTGAAGAAATTGGAATTAAATTTGAAATAAATATCATAAAAGTAGCAAAACGTAAACGAAGTAGGGTTTTGACTTCCATGCAAATACTAAGTCACCATAACTTTACTTATTGACAAAAAAAACAACAGATAAAAAGATGGTTCTGGCTATTGGCCAACTAGTAACTTTTTGGATAATATAAGAGTACACCAATATTAATAGCTTTCGAGAAATAAAAATAAAAGCATTTCTGAGGCATAATGGGCCTTTCAGAACATATGTTGTCTGGTAAATATTATACTCATCTCGATAAAATTAATAAAATTAGAATTATTTTTTCCTCGTTGTTTTATCGGACTTTTATATTACTTCATGTTGCTCCCAACTCTTTTAGATACTATGTCAAATACAACAATGTACAACAATACGTCCATACAATACGAAGCATTTAATAATATACTCACGTATAATTCGCTAAAATATACCACAAAAAGCATTGCATGATCATTCAGAAAGAAAATTATATGAATTTAAAGAATATAACCCGAATTCCACAGAATGTTTACATATTATGTTGATGACCGGACTAATTATAGAACTGCATCCAGACTTTTATTTCAGACGAATTTTTCAGTTTTGAAGCATATTCATTTATCTGTAGCATGGATGAAAGATATGAAGTTGTTTGAACCACTTTAGGGTAGTAACCAGTGATTGATTGTTATCACTTATGAAATATAGTCAAGACTCAAGTAAAACTGCAACCCAAGACCCGCTGGCCGAGGGCAGATATCTAAACAATAAATTAGGACACGCATTCCTTGGAAGGAAATTAATAAGTGCATTCCATGCATGTTTTTATAACATTGTACTGTCACGGAAGATACGGTAATTGAAATGTTTATGTTGTTTAAATTAAAACTGAAACAAGACACTTCATTACAAAGTCTTTAATCAGATAAGAGAAAATAATAATGTTTATGAATAAAAAACCTAGAAAGGAACAAAATACAGCTAGTGTGATATTTCATCCTGAATGTTTGAAAGATTAATATACAAGATAACGTAAATCTATTAATTTACGTGATATTCGTTTACGTGATATTTAACGAAAGATTACATTTCCACATTTACTATGACAGAGGCAGTTTTACTTGTCCGCAGGACGACCTATTGAAATAGAAACAGAATGTGTATCTTAATCAACCAAAATGATATACAGCAAACATATATTAAAATATTCCCTCTGCATATCGAATATACTCGTGTAATATTTTTATAATCGTAAAATAGTGTAAGTGCAGTTGACCATGTCAATATATCATAAATAGTTTTTTTTTTGATGACATTACTGTCCTCAAGTGTTCATTATAATGATAGTATGTTTAGTGTGAACAACAAGAAGATGTAAAGTTCAGTCAAATTAGATAGGGTAGACGTCGTGTTTAGTTGATTCATGAAGCATTATTTCATCACATACGTATTTTCCTTTGAGCCTTACCACTTGTGTATTGTATAAAGGGTATGTGGTGGTTCATGCTGTATATATTTGCGACATATTACTGTTAATTTACGTGGATATCAGATATTGATAACTTGCAGACGTTGTAAAACAAACGATGCTCTATTGGTACCGAAGACAACGAAATCGATTCCCTGCCAAAATATATTACAAAATATATTTCACTCATATTTGCAATTGAATTTGCTGTTACAAATCTATCAAATTAACAATGATTTAGTAACTGCACCGAAAACCAGACATACCTTTCTCTTACATTCTATCAATTGTTCCTTCAAAGAAAACGGAGAAGTCAATTACAATATTTTGATTAGGTACTTGTCAACATCGCGCTGTTGTATATGACAGGGATAAAAAAGAAACTACGACTACGTGCGATGTAAATGAAATGTAAAAATTAAGAAACAACAGATATACAACTGTATTTTCTTCTTAAGCCATGCAGCGTCATGATTCATGTCACATGCTGTTTTAGAGACCTAATATTATCTCAAGCACTGGAAGCCGTAAGGATAGATATAGCTGGTTATTATTTATCTAACAGGAAATACTTCAACGTACCTGGTGACATTCGAACCATTGCTGTTTTAAACAACTTTTTAACAAAATTGATAACGTGTCACAGAAGCGATGCTACCAAACAGAGAAGTCGCTCCTCAAGCAAATGAATGGACTGGCACCTATGATAATGTTTGACAAGTATCGCTTATGCATGATATTTAAATATACTACATAGACGCGGATTTAATGTCATCATATATATAAGTGGGTAAATATAACTTGGCATTTAGATTGTTGCAACACTCTTAATGGCACACAATTTGTTAATATGTAGATAAAAGGTGTAACTACAATAGGGGTTTTATGGCTATTATCCTGCGCTCAATATCTGTTAAAGACTATTACAATGATATTTCATTAGTCTGTGTGCAGCATGTGATTTGATAAAGTATCAAAAGTCAATGATCATCATTCATTAGTATATCAGATTTCTATTATTTTACATTTATAAAAAAGCTAAACAAAAAGAAACGTTATTCACTTTTAATAACCGTTACATGCTAGAGCGTTTTAACATTGACTGCTTCTTGTAACATTTTTCATTGTCACCAGAAAAGACATCGAGCAGTTTAGAAACATTAAAACTCATTATTATATGATCTAAATATAGCTGCAATCTCATTGGTCCAAACAGTAGTCAACAGAACTTTTTGTAGAATCATATTCACTGGGTGTTGTATCATAGACATCGCCTCGGTCAATATGTCATCTGCCGGTAAATATCACATCATATTCAATGGCACACTAGTCAATATTTGTATAATATCTGATATGATGTGTTTTACTAAGTAAAGGCTAAATATGTTTTTTATCAAATAAAAATGTGATAAGCTTTATTTCATGACAGGTACTCGTAAATGTAAACTTCTAACACTCCAGATTTTGTCACTATACACAAAGAAGAAAAAACCGGTGTTGAACTGCCAATAAACACTGGTTAGGGACTACATGTATATTCGGCTGTTATTTATTTTACCTCGATAAGATAAGATAATGTACGACAATTTTATTGACATGTTCAGTTCCTACTATGTATTCATTTTCATATAATGCTAAAATAACATATCACATACACAAACGCCACATGTTTGATCCATATCAGTCATTGAAATTTATATAAGACAAATCGGCTCCAATTCGTAAGGAGCGTAATTGCATCATCCTAAGTATGTGAAAAGCCTGACCGCGCTCTCCCTTGCGCCCTGTCCTGTTTTTGTTTAGGTTCCTCCTGGGCTCCTTGCCACTGGTTTTTGTTGCTGGGTCGTGTGGGGGTTTGCGTTTGCCGCCTTTCCTTGTTGATCTTGTTTATCATATTTTATTCATAAAGGCGTAAGAATGACATCATTTTAGAATGACATGGGTATATTTTGAATATTTTTTAATACCTTTGGGACTGAAGGATGCGAAATAGAACATCATTATACAAAAAAGTCAGCGGGTATAATCTCCGCTTGAAAAACAGCGTTAGTGATATCCTTTATATTGTCTTGTTAAAATCGAAATGATTTGTTTCGTTTTGATGCGAAAAAATTAATCTATCAGGCCTATGGCCGTCATGGTCAATTTCTATGCAACAAAACTCCAAACCACCGGTGTTAAATAGACGATAAACATCGCTGAAACCGATATTGTTTCATAAATGAGCATGCTAGAAAAATCTGACATTGATTTGACATGCAGATATACTAACTAAACTTATTATCAACTGTTATTATCATAGTGTTTCTTTTAATGAGTATAATTAATTGCCTTGGTTTCAAAATGATGAAAATATATTTACCAGCATGCCCTTTCTAATAAATGATTTCTCTAACGATACTTTCAGATAACATTTATAAGATAAAAACATCAAGATCTGAGAAGAAGATTCCCTCTTTGTATAACAGTCTGAGTAATAAGATATGTTATTACGAAGTGTGTGACCTTTGAATACTAGCTAACTGTAAAGAAAGTTGAAATTGGGTATAACTTTCTTTTGTCTAAAATAAACGAGGTATTCTTACTGAACTTTTGTTATCAGAGAATAAATTTACAACTTTATGTAGATACAATCTCAATTTAAATCAGTAATTATCTGTTGTAGATTTCCTCAACAGGTGCATGATTTTGTTCTTAATCCGCCTTTACATTGATTAAACCCTTTAAAATCTGGGAAAGGGGTGTTCCGTTGGAAGCAGTGAAACAGAATATTTCTTTCAATAGACAGATAGGAAAATATTTGTTCATTTTTTGAATAAATCTTATCTTACAGACGATTAATTTATGTATGATTATAAAAATGATTTATATTATCTTTTGAAAGAGCATATTTGATTATTGACGGGTGTTTATAACAAGATGTTATGCCACCGCATGTATTTAACCGAAGTAGATCTTTTTTGTTTCTTTACCATTTACGTTGCAATATAGCTGTAGTGTCAGTTGAATTTTGGAGTCAAGGTAATATTTCAGCATGTCAAATGCGTGACAATGAGCAGAATGTGTCTAATGTTGGGATACAAACAATACTGCAATCATTGATTCAAAAATAAAAGAATTTTTACTTGAATAACGCCTAGCCCCTGTCGATTCAGAGAAGAATATTGTTAAGCTTTTACTATTCACTTTCAAATTTAACTTATGACCCCCTGGGTAAGGCCAATTTGACACTAGGGGCACAATTTAAACAAATTTTGTTAGCTGACTTTTAGATGATATAATATACCAACTACCATAGCTATAAGCCTTGTACCTTCAAAGATTTTTTAAGTTTTCAACTATATGTATATAAAGAAATTCAATGAACTCTCGAAGCGGGCCAATTTTGACCCAGGGATATAACTGAAAATCTTTGTATAGGTCCACTCCCTAGTGTTTTAGGCCAATTATCTGTTTGTTTGTTTGTTTGTTCCATTTTAAGCCCTTTTCTAACAGTATTTCAGTCATATAGGCGGGTAGTTTCCTAACCATCGTTCCTGGAGAGTTACACCAGTACTAGACTACCTTCCTCCGTGCTAAACTACCAAAGCATCTCCCGGGGATCGAACCCACGCCAGCGAGGTTAGAAGTCATCGACTCTAACCCCTCGACCACGGAGGGAATTACCTAGCCTCAAGCCTTTGTTTATTCAGAGAAAAAGATCTTTTAAGTTTTTACTATATACATAATAAGGAAAACCTTATTCCCCGGACACCTCTGTTCAGCATATAAAAAAGGACTCCACTGTGGATTTTTGACATGACATGACTGGATTTTCTTTTTTGAGATTTATGT